GTCGACCAGCTGTCCCGCCTGGACTTGGTCCCCGGCCCGGGGCGCGCGGGTCGACCAGATGTTCGCGCCGAGCGCCGCGGGGCCGCGGGGCGCACGGGCTTCTCGGAGCCCTCGGGGCTCCCTGGAGGCTGCGGACGAGCGGCCGCGAGGCCCCCGGGGCCGCCGCCCTGCCGGGTCGACCAGCGGCCCGGCCCGGACTCGGCCCCCGGGTCCCGTGGCGCGCGGGTCGACCAGATGTCCGCGCGAGCGCCGAGCGGCGCGGGACCGCGGGGCGCTCGGCCTTCTCGGAGGCTCGAGGGCTCCGGCGACCCGGCGGACGAGCAGCGGCGAGGCCGCCGGGGCCGCCGCCCTGCCGGGTCGACCGGCGACCCGGCCCCCGGGTCTGGTGGCACGCGGGTCGACCAGATGTCCGCGCCGAGCGCCGCGGGGTCGCGGGGCCACGGGGCGCTCGGGCTTCTCGGAGCCCCGAGGGCTCCCTGGAGCCTGCGGACGAGCAGCGGCGAGGCCCCCGGGGCCGCCGCCCTGCCGGGTCGACCAGCGGCCCGGCCCGGAATCGGCCCCCGGGTCCCGTGGCGCGCGGGCCGACCAGATGTCCGCGCCGAGCGCCGCGTGACTGCGGGTCGCTCGGGCTTCTCGCAGTCCGAGGGTTCCGCGGGCACGTAGCTGCGAGACCCGGGCGGCTGCCCTCCGCCCGGCTCACGGGGGCGGTCGTGTCCATCAGCTGGTCGTGCGGAAATCCCGTGGTTGGCCTCCCTCCCTCCCTCCCTCCCTCCCTCCCTCCCTCGTCCAGCCGCACGTTTGCGGGGTTCGTGCGACTGGGATGAAATAGACCTTCCTTCCAAAGGACAATCGGAGATCATCCATCATACCTCTCGAGTCCCCAAAAGCCAAGAAACACGCCAACCAAAACGCTTTTATTATGCCAACGGTTCCCGTTTTCATTCCTATCGTTTAGGGAGGTTTGGTGGCAGCAGCGGCCGAAAGCAAAAGGAAACCCGAGGAAAGCGGCTCCATCCACCAGGGCTGTGTCTCATCCGTGCCGACGCAGGAGGGACGGGCTTCGTTCGTTCGTTCGCTGCGGCCCAAATTCCCGGGCCGCCCGAGGACCGCTCGCACCGGCCCGAGGGAGGGAGCCCCGGCAGGCAGGACGCCTCCGGTGAAATGGCCAAGTCGACCGCGCGACCCACAACCCGCCGACTGGGGCGAGAAGGCGCATGGAGGGGACTCGTCCCTAGTCGGCAGAGGCCCTGGGACAGGGACGTTCGCCAAAACCTCCCAAGGCCGCTTTCGTGACCGAGTCGGCCTCCCCGCCTGTACTCGTCCCGGCCGAGAAACGAGAGCGGGGTGGATCGGGACCAGGCGACGCACCAGGCCGGCCGGCGCTGCATCCTCCCTCCCCCGACCTGACTGACTGACGAAGCCTCCCCATCGCCGCCCCCGCGAGGCTGATCCGTCCGCCGGTGAGGAGGCCGCTTGTCGGGCGCACCGGCTGCCCGGCATCTTTATATAGTGTTCGAGGAGGTCGACAGGTGGCCCGCGGGATGGGGGGGGGGGGTGCGGGGGTGGTGTCCGGGCGGCGGGGCGGGGGGTAGGAGTGGAGAGGAAGGTGGGCGGGGGAATGCCGGGGGGGGGGGGGGGCGGGGGTCGGCGCGGGCGGGGCGGGGCGGGAGTTGGGATGGGGGAGGGGCGGGAGGCCGTCTGGACATGGAGGTCGGAAGAGCGTGGTGACAATGATTTTCATTATCATTTAGAAGAAGAACGTGGACTTCTTTAGAGGAGTCCTTTGAATAGCTTCTCCATTTAGTTAACATACATCCAAATGGAGGTCGGGAACTTGGGTCCTGTTACATATGGATGGAGTGGAAAGAACTATCGCGATGACCGTCCTTGTGTTTCTTTTATTTTTTCTTTCTTTTCTCCCCAAAGCCGCCCCCCCCCCCCGCCCGCCCCGCCCCGCCCCGTCCCGTCCCGTCCGTCCATCCATAGTTGTAGGTTCCAGTGGTAGGTCTTTCGGGTTTCTGCTATGTGGGTTGAAGGGCGATGCTGGGTCTGGGGCTGCCCCAGGTCCGACCGGTGAAACTGGGCCGTCGAACGGTCGGGGGGGGTGGGGGC